GTGATCGTCTTTTATTTCTAAGCGACTTTACATTCGATGCCTGCGACTGTCTTCATAGGTGATAGTATTGAAAGCAAAGGCTAACGATTCCTGTTCTCAAACAGCCGACACGAACAATTCAAATCGAAAAATATCCCCTTCAAATTGCTTTGTTCCCGGTAAAACTTCGCCAGCGTATAGAATAAACACCCATCTTCGAACATACAAGGCAATATTAACACGTCCTGTAATTTTGCAATGGATTTTTAGCGAAATGTTTCGAGACTAAAATTCTATGGAACTTAGAAAGGCCGATAATTACTACGGCGCCTGCTTGGCCACCTAGCCTCCTTTACCGTTTGGATTGTCAGGGAGCGGGATTCAAATAAAAAACACCTATTTTTGGCAACAGCCAGCCCATCAACGCCGCGATACCGACTGTTTACAATATTTGAAATCTGATATTACAATTTATCAACAACAAAACTCTTTCGATCGATCGATCGTATAGTATAGTATAAGATAGAAAGAGAGCTGTATACGATCGAAAGAGTTTTGCTGTTGATAAATTGCAATGTCAGATTTCAAATGCTGTAAACAGTCGGTATCGCGGCGTTGATTGGCTGGCTGTTGCCGAAAATAGGTGTTTTTTATTTGAATCCCCCCCTGACAATCCAAACGGTAAAGGAGGCTAGGTGGCCAAGCAGGCGCCGTAGTAATTGGGGTTGACTACCTCACGGGCGTTCTTTGAGGGTGACGTCAATACAATTGGAAAGCGGTTTTCCACTATAAACTCGTAATATCTTCGTAAAATCTTCGTAACATGTTCGTATAAATTAATTATTTATTGTTATTAATTACCCTTAAAACGCGACGCGATTTTTCGATTTTCACTGACCGACAACTTTGATCCTAGTTTGAATTTTTTGAATTTTTATAGCGCTATAACATTTTGATTTGGTCTACATGTCTTCCAAAATTTGCTCTCATTAATTAATTTTCAAAAACTAAAAAATTGCGTCGTGTTGTCAAATCGCGTCTGGTGTGTCTAAACATTAATCCTAACCTAAGCTAACCCAAAACTTGTAAAAACTACGAAGAAAAAAAGTTTTAAAAAAATTAATAAAGTAGCGGCGTGAGCAGGATTCGAACCCCAAGCTATCACATAGAATGCGGGCGCTTAACCACACCACTACGGAGAATTTCCGTGACTGTCAATGAAATTTACGAGTTTTTTAGCCTTTTATTTTTAACAAGTTTAATGACTACGGAAATGTGGAACCTTATAACCACTTCCAAATTGCAATGCTCACCAATGGTAAAAATATATCCCTGTGAGTCTGTGACCATTTGACTGGCAGCCAGTCAGGTTTCGAAATGTACTAAATGTTCACTTCCTTTGTAATTTAGATTCTGATCGTAAATGAATGAATATATTAAACTATTGTTTCGGTGTGTTAAATTTCAGCGATTGCTGCAATAGTGTTGTGGCTATACTGCTCTAGTCTAAGGATAGCAGATCGAATCCTTGCCAATAACAATAAATAATTAATTTATACGAACATGTTACGAAGATTTTACGAAGATATTACGAGTTTAGAGTGGAAAACCGCTTCCCAATTGTATTGACGTCACCCTCAAAGAACGCCCGTGAGGTAGTCAATCCCGTAGTATCGGTCTTTCTAAGTTCCCTAAAAAATTAATCTCGAAATATTTCGCTAAAAATCCATTGCAAAAATTACAGGACGTGTTAATATTGCCTTGTATGTCCGAAGATGGGTGTTTATTCTATACGCCGGGATATTTTTCGATTTGAATTATTCGTGTCGGCTGTTTGAGAACTGGAATCGTTAGCCTTTGCTTTCAATACTATCACCTATGAAGACAGTCGCAGGCATCGAATGTAAAGTCGCTCAGAAATAAAAGACGATCACATACAATCAAAGTAGGCAAGTAAATATGATTTTAAAATATAAAATTCATTACAAATTTTATTGTTTAGTATATTTTATAATGATATATTTACTATGCACTGATACACGTCTGGGCCGCCTGTGGCTTGACCTTCTCTATTGTCTGTTGGCCTTGTTTACATAATATAAGTTCTATTTAAAGTAACGCACCTGATTGGATAATAAAATTAGAAAGCCACTAAAGTGCTGAAGTGCACAATATTATATCTATTTATACGTCACTGTACAGCATTAGTGACAAATGGTCGCAGACTGTTATCCTTCCACCACGGGGGGAAGGGACAGTCTGTGCACAGACTAGGACGAAAAAGGAATCAAGGAAATTTCAGTGAACTATATACATTATCATTCTCGTACCCAGAGCCCTTCTTACGCGCGTTCGACCAAGCGCGCGTAAGAAGGGCTCTGGGTACGAGAATGTTATCTGGAATGTATACATTATATAGTTCAGTTATATTGTTATATAGTTCAGTGAGAAATGTAAGGAAATTTTGAAAAATCTAAGGAAATCTAAATAATTTTTGAGAAATGTTTTGAATATTCTTCGAGAAATGGTTTATTATCTAGCTGGTCCTTGATTAATCAAGAAATTTTCAAGGAAATTACATCCGATTTCAAGGAAATTCAAGGAAATTAAAAAATATTCAATATCAAGAATTGGAATTGAAGAAAAAGTTTTAGGAGATAAAATTTATGGAAAACCTTAATTCTGAACCAATGTTCTGACTGAAGTTACTGAACAGATTATAAATTTGTATACAGAAATCATTGCGCAAAAATACAGTTTCAAAGTTTAATACTGTGATTGAAAACCAAAACTCGAAACATAAAACATTAAAAGATCAAGATCGATCAAGACAAACTCATTTCTCAATAGGTATGTTTAAAAAGTATTTTACCTGTTTTAACATAAATATGAAATTCAATACATCTTAAAGTTAATACACAATTAAGTTTCATATTGTTTTCAGCGTTGCTTACTACCATTTGCAAGCAACCGCAAAATCCAAACTTTTTTTCACGTTTGTTTACGTTTCAAACGTACACGGTGGGCGGGTCAAACGTGCATGTTGAAACGTAATAATCAATTAGTTTGAACCGCGAAATAGCGACGTTTGACAAATCTCGCCGATACGTTTGAACAACGCGAAAGCACGTTCAAGACTAGATATCCTGCGTTTCACAACTCATAATTTCCTGATATTACAATATAAAATGTCTGTACAAATTACAGTCGTGCCAATAGAAGCGTTCCGAACAATTTTGATCAGTTCATTTCCATGCGTCGATCACAGAACAATTCCTCAATCATTTGAAGAAGTTCCTTAGAAATTTCCTAGCTTCCTGTGCAGATAAACCAATCATGTTAGCTGTTGAATAACAACTGACCAATCACGTTAAAGCATTGCTCAAAACGAATTTTCAATGTTTCTGTTTGGCCGTTTGTTAACGTTTATATAACGATATATTAAAACATTGAATTTTCATGTTTTTTATTGTGTATTCAAAATTTTCGACAAAAGTCGAAAGCTCCTCATTACAATTGCAAAGTTCAACCAGGGCCGCAGAGAGGGGGGAGGGGCAGGGGGGCAAATTGCCCCGGGCCCCGAGTTGCTGGGGGCCCCTGAAAATTTTTTGTTGGGCCCCAGCCTTTTTTGTGTGTTAAATATTTCCGCGCAAAGGACAAGAGATCTGTTTTCTTGGGCTAAGTACCGAATTTTGGCATAAAAAAATGAGATAAAGTCGCTCGAAAGCAATTGCAACGTACTCGTCCGGAAAAATTTTGTACTCCGGAAAAAATTTTTGACCCCTAAAATGGTACACTGACCGAAAATTTTTTTTGGGGGGGAGAGGTTGTTCTCCGGAAAAAAATTTTTCCGGGAAAAATTTTTTTAGATAGGGGCCCCTAAAAAAAATTTGCCCCGGGCCGCCGAGAAACATACAAATTTTCGTTCTCGTATTAACGAAGCGATAAACAGTTTCAATTATAAATGTAATAACTATAAATAAACATAGTTTATTAAACGTTAACAAACGGTCAAACAGAAACATTGAAAATTCGTTTTGAGCAATGCTTTAATGTGATTGGTCAGTTGTTATTTAACAGCTAACATGATTGGTTTATCTGCACAGGAAGTTAGGAAATTTCTAAGGAACTTTTTCAAATGATTGAGGAATTGTTCTGTGATCGACGCATGGAAAAGAACTGATCAAAATTGTTCGGAACGCTTCTACTGTATTGGCACGACTGTATTTTGTACAGACATTTTAAATTGTAATATCAGGAAATTATGAGTTGTGAAACGCAGGATATCTAGTCTTGAAGGTGCTTTCGCGTTGTTCAAACGTATCGGCGAGATTTGTCAAACGTCGCTATTTCGCGGTTCAAACTAATTGTTATTACGTTTCAACACGCACGTTTGACCCGCCCATCGTGTACGTTTGAAACGTAAACAAACGTGAAAAAAAGTTTGGATTTTGCGGTTGCTTGCAAATGGTAGTAAGGCAAAGCCAAACCTTTTGAAACGAGAATTGTCGATGACTTATAATTAGGCAAATATTCATCCACAACTAATAAAATTTGTTTTAAACATATGAAAATACTTTGAAAAAAAACATAAACCCGATGGTGAATGAAACTCTTCGACGATGAAAAGTTAGTCCCAGTTTGCTTATACTTTGTAGTTTTCACTCATAGTCAAATTCAATATGGCGGATTTATTATAAGGGCCAGTGAGCTCCATATATTTCTGGAGCAAAACTCGAGACCAAGAAGTGAAGCTTGAAATCGAGCTATTGTCCCCGTACCCCCTACCCCACTCCCCGTACTAGCCGCAAATGACATGAAATGCATCTCATGTCCAAACTTGGCACTGTCCTATATGCCCATTGTATCAATAAACATTTTTTGTGAAATGGGGATAAAAAGGGATGCTTGTAGGGGAGAGTGGAAGCAGGTGAGTACATGTGTGTGGGAAGAGACTCTCCACACACTATACCTGCTAACTCAACATACCATCGGCCATCCAAATCTTGCCTGAAGAAACCTAGTGACCTAGCTATCTTCCATATTACTATATTCTGCAATGTGATTTTTTAAGTTTTTTGTAGGTTTGCATGGTGATAAACATATAATAGTTTTTGTTTGTGGAAACACAATGTAAATTTATGTGGTGTTTCCAGAAACAAAAAGTATTATATGTAATTTTTTGGTCATACTTTCTCATGACTTAGGCCCAGTTACACAATACCGGATTCGCAACGGAGTGACATCAAATTTTAGCGCTTCGAGATGAATTTGGCACTTAAAATTATGATAATATTACATAGTTCAACAAAAAGTTCTAATATGAAAAATTATAAAAGCAGACGAGACTGGAAAACACTAGTTATTAAATTGATGTCGCTACGATACGAATCCGGTATTGTGTAACTTGGGCCTTGGTCTAGTATTTTTACACTACTATAAAAGGACATGTATGTGTTTCCCCGATGCACGCTACTAACTTCCCAATGAACTATGAAGGGCCTTCTCTTGAAATGTCTGAACATTTAGTATTTTTCGGGTAGTTATTATTATTATTATTATTATAATTCATTTATATAGCGCCATTTCCCATAGCTCAATAGCGCTTAACATCAAGTGTTAAAAATATATACTAAGCGTTAGAACATAGTACATGCATTAACTACTAAAATTACTATACTATAAAATTACTAAAAAATAATTATATGCTCTTCTCGTTAAGAATATAAAATTACTTTATGTTATGTATGTTGATAATATTAAAACAACAACTATATAGAATACTATAAAATTGCTAATAATCTTGTTAAAATAATAACTTAGTCATAATACTGTTTAAAAAGATGTGTCTTTAATCTGGTTTTAAAAATAGGCAAGGTCTCACTCTTTCTAATATACTCTGGCAGTTCGTTCCACAGTTTCGGTGCAGCATATGAGAACGATCGTTCACCATAGTTCACTAGTTTTACTGAGGGTATGGTAAGCAATCCTTTGGATGAGGAGCGTAAATTTGCTGATGGTGTATAAGGTTTTAGCATATTATTAATGTAATGTGGAGCTGAGCCATTCAGAGATTTATATGTAATAAGAACAATTTTATAGATGATGCGTTGACTGATGGGGAGCCAATGTAATTGTTTCATTAATGGAGTAATATGATCGTATTTTTTGCTTCCTGTCACCAGTCGAGCAGCACAGTTTTGCACATTCTGTAACCGATCAATAAGAAATTTAGGCAATCCGTATAATAAAGAATTACAATTATCCAGTTTCGATGTAATAAAGGCATGAACTAAAGTTTGGATATCTGACGTTGATAAGTACTCTTTTATTCTTGCTATTTTTCTCAAATGGAAAAAACAGTTCTTGCAAATATTGGTAACATGTTTATCCATAGACATGTGGTGGTCGAAAGTTGTATCACCTACAAAAGTCCACTACATTTGTACTACACTGCATGCATGGCACAGACCATTCAAGATTTTGTATAATTTTAGCATGTTTAAAGAACAATGAAAATACTTCTGCTGGAAAATATTGGGATCCATTGTCGGACAAATTAATAGCAGTTGAATGTGAATTATAAATAGGCAGGTAACTTTATTACAGTGTGAATCTTACCAGTGAATTATTTCTGCAACATCTGTATTTACCCCCCCCCAAATGAATCTCTGTTGAACATGTTCGTGTTTACATTGCCAAGCATGACATGAACTAGTGAAGGCAAAAACTGTTTCTTATCACATTCAATCTTATTTTATTAGTTATCACTCGTTTTCAGGGCCGCAGAGAGGTTGCACAGGGCTCAAGACATTAAATGTTCCCAAGGGGCTCTTTGACTTCATAATTGTAAAATTGGAAGCACATTAATTGGCACTGAAGCAGTTAGGATTTGTATGTTCAGTTAAGCAATCTTGTATTAAAACATTGTAAGGGCCTTCATCACTTTCAGGGGTCCTAAATGCCCCCTGTCTCCCCCCCCTTATGGCAGCCCTTGTTCCCAGTACTACTGGTACAATTAAGCTGTAGGATTACCAGCTGGGAGCTTTTTTGTGCCATTGTAAAATATTACTTTAGCCAAATGTCAGCTGTTTAAAATTAATCATATTGTTTGCAATATTTTTTATTTAATTAAAGACAACCCAGTCAAGTGGAACCTATATGGGCTGTGCTTGTGGCATGTTATTAATAATAGCCAAGTTTTGTCCCAGAATGGCCACAGTCTGGAGTATGCTGCTTTTGAAAGCTGTAGTGTAGTATTTTCCCTAGCACAGATTATTACCTGGAAGGCTGGAAATGTAGCAATGGGCTATCAGCACATCCCTGTTGAGGATGCATGCTTCTCATGGTCATACACTCATACCCTGAGTAGTTCCAAGCCCAAAACACTAATTAGTCTTGCGACTTGCCAATGAGGAATTCCACATTTCATGAACCACTGCCATTCCAGGTTTCATACACCCTTTCCCTCTGAGGAATACCGAGGACAAAATCGTTATTCTGAGGAGGCCTGTATTGTATAGACTATTATAGTGTATTAACTGAAATGATCCTAAAGAATTCCAGCTATCCTCGACCAACAGGGGATGTACGGGTATAAATGAAAATGGAATAGCGAATGTTCTATTTATGGAGTCTACACTACATCCACATATTCGTGTTTAAATTACTGTATATTATATCGTATGTGCATTATTTGCACTGATTACCACGTATATATGCAGTTGTATAAGACAACAGCACAATTACGCAACCCTGATTTACACCACTATAAACCCAACATGACATGCATAAATGGCATGATCAATCGTTCTATAAAAAAATGTTAAAATACACTCACAGTCTCACCTTGTCGTAATCTTTAGCAGCGTTGTTGAAATATTGCTTCAACTGCTCTTCGGTACTGTCTCTAGGCATTGCCTGTGATGAAAATGTGGGGAGTTTAGCGCTCATGATTAAGTTGTTAAATCTAAAATTTACGCAATATAATAACCAGGGCTCTCAGAACCAGCCTCGTACCCAGGCCGTATTATCTCTTCGCTAAAAATGGGCACACTACAGTGTTATTATATAGATCAGTGGCTCGAGCGCGCGGGGGTGCTTGGGGAGGACGCAGGAACGGAATTCCAAATTTTCCTTAGACTCAGCGGTAAAAATTCCTTAAATGGACAAAAATTTCCTTAGACTTGGCCTAGTCTCTGAGGAACAGTCTAGTGGCGCGCGAAAGCGCGATCATAGACGCAATTGGCGCGAAAATATGTAAATATAACTTTTTTACATCGGAAAATGGCGGATTCTGAATTTTCTGATTTTGAATCCGAGGGAAGCGCTCCAAAAAAGACTAAAATTTAAAAAAAAGTATAAACAAAAATTTCGAGCGGAATGGAGAAAATATCCTACTTTTAAACATGGCTTGTTGCAATCATGGATAATAAAATAAATGGATATGAAACTAGCTGACGTGACCTAATGTTTTTACTGGGATTGATGGCGTGGTTGGATGCTTCAACCTAGTTGAAAATCAAATTCTCAAAAACGGCATGTTTAGCAATAATACAGCTAAAAATTTTAGTCAAAGAGCAAATAAATATAACCACGCCATTCTACGATGAAAACTCTAAGTATTCCCAGTCAATTTTAGCAAATATTTCAAGCACTAAACAGTGAAAAATACATCGCAAATTTCGTTAAAATTTGTGACGCCAATTTCGTAGCTACAAATGTAAAAAAATATAAAACAAAGACGAAAACATTTACCTTCAATACTTTGTCGTGGCTTAGGCATGTTTTTAAAACAATTAGACCAGTTTACGCTTCAAGATCACCCTTTTAAAGTGGAAAATATAGCAAAACAACAAATATGCCGAGAACTTTGGTAACATTCGCAATACGCGTGACGTCACGTTTTTCAACAAGAATGCAGTCAATGACGTCAGAAGTTTCCAATCCATTTATTTTATTATCCATGTTGCAATCAAACGCGAACGACGAACCATTATGGACATCATGCAAAGTTTGCTGCAAAAGTTTCGTGTTCGAAAACTGCGCTTCAAAACACAGCGAGTCAAAGTCACTCAGAAACTTACGCCCGTATTCTAAAAGCTCCCTCACACTCACTGAGTGGAGGTTCAATTTGAGCTTTTCTTGAGTGTTAATGCTGTTTTTGAATAGCTGGAGTGTGAGTGGTCACAAGGTACGACACTAACCCTCCAGCTATTCAAAAACAGCAATGACACTCGAGAGAAGCTCAGATTGAACCTCCACGGGCGTTAATTAAAGAACCAAATACGAACAATAAAATTGAAGATGATCAGCGATTTCAGTAAAAACTACTGCCCAAAACTTTCATTAGGTTGATGGATTTCGATGGATATAATTTATAAGTATAACAAACAGTGTAATAACTAATTGTTTGGAGTGTTTTTCAACTCAAAATTCCTTAAAAATTCCTTAAAAATTCTATTTCCTTAAAAGTTTCCTTAAAAAGGTCAAAATTTCCTCAGTTTAAGGAAATTTCCTTAAAAATGAGAGCCCTGATCACAAACACTTTAAATTTCAAAGCGGATTGTGTGGTAGCAAGATGTCCAATGGAATAATCAAAAGGCCATTGGACATTCCATTTGTCAAATGGATCAAATGGACCTCCAATTTTCCATTGGACTTTTGCTTGTCCATTGGATCCAATGGACAAATGGAATGAACCAATGGACAAGTGGAATTTCCATCGGACATCTTAAAAACTCACGCAATATATCAACATAATTTTGCTTCGTTCTCAAGAAACCACGCGTACATAACACGGAACGGGAAGATCCTTACATGAATAAATAAATATAATATGTTGTTGCTTCGTTCTTAAGAACTCACGCAATATATCAACATAATTTTGCTTTTTTGTCAACTAGAGACCACGTGTACATAACACGGGAACGCGAAGATCCTTATATGAATAAATAAATATAATATGTTGTTGCTTCGTTCTTAAGAACTCACGCAATATATCAACATAATTTTGCTTCTTTGTCAACTAGAGACCACGTGTACATAACACGGGAACGGGAAGATCCTTATATGAATAAATAAATATAATATGTTGTTGCTTCGTTCTTAACTCACGCAATATATTATATAGCAATATAATATGTTGTTCTTGCTTTCTTTCTTAAATTAAGAAACCTACACGCAATATATCAATATAATATGTTGTTGCTTCGTTCTCAATAGATCAACTGAATCCAATGGAAAAATAATATGCAAGTCAATATAGACATTTCTTAGCCTATAGCACTTGAATAATATAACAATATGTTGTTGCTTCGTTCTTAAGAACTCACGCAACATATATATCAACATAATTTTCCTTCGTTCTCAAGAGACCACGTAAATAACACGGGAACGTGAAGATCCTTATATCAATAATAATATAGTATGTTGTTGCTTCGTTCTTAAGAAATCACGCAATATAGGCTATCAATATAATATGTTGTTCGTTCATTCGGTTGAGAAATCACGCAATACAGCAAAGCATAGGCTAATATACTATATACGTCGTTGCTTAATTTGTTCTCAAGAGACGCGCAATATATCAATATAGCTAATATGCCACTTGCTTATTGTAAACATGACTTTAGTCAAAGCTGCTAAAACTACCGCTTATGCGCAGGATATAACCGTCGTGGGAACAGACTGTAAACTCAGAAAATCTTTGGCGGTGTGTGGGCGTCTTTTTTGTCGGAAAACGACGTCTTATGATGCATTTAATTATAACGTTTCCTTTAATTAATTGCCTCCGGCTCCTGGTCATCTTCTTGCGCTCTGCCTATATCTAGTTAACTTCATTTCGAACGCAAAGTTCTATTAATCTAAATAAAGTTCTATTTAGATATGAAGATGGACATATATAAATATATTCTAGGGTTTGTTGAAGAATATATTTCCCACAGAACAATTATGCCGTGAGCCTATCGCATATTTTTAGGGGTATATATACCAACTTGAGATATTACCTTATGCCTTATATTCTATATATAAAGTTTAATTGTGTTATCAACCTATAAGAGTTCAATAACAATGCATGCAAGCGTATTTGACGTTGCAAATGCAAAACAAATAAATTAAATCAGTGGGGTATTAATAAGCATCGACACTTAACCACAACTCCAAGCGTAAGCTACCTATATATGATAGAAAAAAGCAAATTGTGAGGAAATTTTTTTCTTTTTTGTCTTTGAAACCCTCATGAGTATCATTCATGCTTTGTGTTCTTGCTTATATTATGTCCCCAGTGAAAACCGGGCTTCACACATTGCATTTTAAATATTCAGTTGAGCATTGGACATCACTTAGGGACCGGTCATTATTTATGGTGGGGGGTGGCACCAAAGAGAAATGTTTTTCGTGGCAGAAATTTTGCTGACCCAACCATTAAAAAGTCAAAAATTTGATTACCCAACCTCAAATATCAAGTAAAAAATAAATACCCACCCCTGGCCAAAATTAAACTTTACAAGAGGTTACCATTCAGTTGTCACATATGTCCTTTACCCGATTTCTGTGACAGGAGTTTGATAACTGCTTGTGAAATTAATTTGCTGCAGTTTAATGTATCATGTTGTCTGCACATGTCCTTTCTTTGAAGACACCATTTGTCTTCTAACAAATTGGAAAATGATCAAGACAGTGACTGATTGATTCACATATTGTATTGACATACGACTATAACTTTTTATTACCCAACCCTTGAGTTGTTTTGTTTTTCATTTACCCAACCTTTTACTTACTCAAAATTTAGTTTACCCAACCATTTTCTCTTCGGTGCCACCCCCCGCCAAAAATAATGACCGGTCCCTTATGATGCTTTTTACTGAACATAAGTCGAAATTATTCCACAAATTAAAGTTGCTATTTTTAGCTAGCCTGCTCAGCAGCCCCGCGTTTGGGCTTAGAGCTGCCGGCTACTTTTTAGCGAAAACCGCAAATTTAGGGCATTTTTCGAATCATTAGACATTACGACTTTTACGCAAGACTTTTTACGCACGGCGAAACACGACTTTTCACCCAGTCCCGCCAAAACTCAAACATAACAGGCGGCATGAATTCAAGGCAGGTAATTGATGTTCGACACGGAATGACCCTCATCATTATCCAACCGTCTCAAACAGATTTTTTTGGGTTTATGTTCTTTTTTTATTCGCTGTTTGTATTTTAAGCACTTATTAATTGCCACGACTTTTTACAAAGACTAATTAGTTTTTCACGCAGAAAGACGTCTTGCACTTTTGTTAGGTTTCCATCGGCACACAAATCTGCAGTTACATGGAACGCACTCGAATTTCAGGTCAACTGTCAAAGCGATACATCCGTCTAGCTATTTATGTATTAAAGGCTATAGTAACTGTCTGAATTTTTTAATTACATGTGCTTTGTATATACTTTTAATTTGCAATTCAGTGGCAGCTGCTACAAGGAGCCCAAGTTTTTTTCTGTCCTTTAATAAAAGATAAAAGAAAGGTCGTATGGCGTAATAACATATGATTTCAGCAAGCAAAGACAATTTCGTATCGTATTCTCTAGGGCCCACATTTAATAAGGCGCGTTGCTAATGACGGTGACTATGTTCTCTGATTAAAAATGTTTCAATACAAACTTTCCAGTTTTGACTGCCAGTGCAGTTTTCCTCACAGTTCTGCCACAATCGAAAGCTTGTGTTCAAATCCAACATTTTTAAATCTTTTCGTCAACGTATTTTTAACGTATAAAGCCAAAGTCACTACGCACGACATATATGTTTCATAGTTATATATCATAATATCAATACAGACAATACTGCATGGAAACGCCGAAAATGTTTAATCCTAGTCGGATAGAATTTCGCGGCGGCCTCATGTTTCATGCTGTTGTGTTTATAAATTTAAACTGATAACCTTTGCCCAATATACTCTGTAGCTGTACTCACATGGTAATTCTTATTCTCTACATTTACACTAAAAATACAAGTAGGAAAATAA